TGTTCAGAGACCACGCTCCGCTACCATGTGAAAAGTAGCACAGCAGACAGCGAGCACACGCCTCACCCTTTTTACTCACACTTGAGCCAAAGTTCGTGTGTCAAGGGGAGGCTTGGTCACAGTTCTTCTGCAACCTACGGCTTGCATTCCTAAACTTACTATAGAGCGTTTGCAGTAGCTGGAAACTTTAACGCTTGCGGTGTTTGTGCAACTTGCTTGTCACAGACTACCGCACTCGCAGCCGTTCTGACTTTGCAATGTCTCTCGGTTAGCCTTAAGAAAAAAGAGGTCTCTGTGCCTTGCGCCCTTGATTCATCTGACCTTGCCCTTCCCCTTCCACATCAAGGTTTTGCTCGCTCTTCACATCGAAAAAGCTTGATCCGGCTACTGGCGAGATGACACGAACACATTCATGCAGAATGTGGTTCCCTGGCGGAGCTTCCAGTCCGACATCTCTGATCTCCGCATGCACCAGATCGTTGCGGTCGTGAGGTGGAAGTACGAGACCGCTCGTGAGAGGGCGTCTCTTCCAGGCAGTGGGTGAAGCATCGTGGGCATCTGGTAGATGGACGTGTTGGTCGCTCCGCGGGCTTGCAGAACGTGCCGGCTCCTGCTGTGGGCGGCGGCTGCCGCGTGGAGCTGCCGGAGTCGCTCACCAACTAGAAAAGGCTTTGGAACCCTCAAGCGCACAGCAAGTGCTTTGAGTGGTGCCTCCGGAACAGCGTTTTCTGGACATAGGGAGCTTGACAACCTTGGCCGGCTTCACACCAACCGCTGCACAAGGTCCTCCTTTCTACGCGCAATCTTGCGGTGGGGGTCGCACCCGAGCTGATGATCCTTGTCAGCTTGTGGACGTTGCCCGGGACTTCTCTGCGCCGTGCACGAGCAGGTTTATGGGGCCGTGATCTCCAAGGATGCCATGGACAAGCTGAAGACCCTGCAAGGTAAGCTCGGCGCCCTGTCTGATAAGTGCAGCAAGTGGGAGACCCAGCATGGTTAGTTTGGCCGTCAAGAAGTACAGCATACTTCTCACAGAGAACAAGCAGATCCAGAAGGCGAAGGGGGTTGCCAGGTGCGTCCGCGAGAGCACGAAGCATGATGAGTAAGTACTGCAGGCCTCTAGGGCATTGGCGCAACGCCT